TACAGAGTTTTTGGAGCTATGTGACAACTTCTAAGACACAACAGTGCAGACATGAAGACATAAATTAATTACCATTTCAATGCAAATGACAACAGCCAACCTCCTGCCCCCCTTACCCCAAGACTCTATTCACAGACGATCATGATTGGAGGTAGGTCTTCTGCTGTCTCTCTACACAGAAATAAATTTTACTCTGGCTGAACAACCTTGAAGGAAATATCTTTACTTGGAAGATTAATGAACACCTTCTGCTGAGTTACTTGTTCACCCAAATCCCCATTTTGCCAGTGTACAAGCAGAATATATTAGAAGGCAATAGCAGACCTAGGAACAGCTGCAGTAGTTAGTGAAGACTCCTTGATCCAACAGTCAAAAAGGCCCTCTATCTGGCTTCTTTAAAAGCTTCAGTTTTGCTAAAGGTGCATCAGAGTAGTGAGGGCTTAGGTCTGGTGAGACTGATGGAATGAAAAGGTGTGAGAAAAAGTATTTGCAATGCAGCACATGGCACATTTGTTTTTATGAGAAGTCCAGGTTCCGGTCTCATCAATATTGTGCATTTGTATGCACACATGTATTTGTTTTACAAACTGGGATTTTTTATGATGCAAATCATTTCATTAAAAAAGTTCCTGACAAGATCAGTTTGACATCCTTATCTACACATATTACTCCACAATTACCATTTAAAAATAAGGTGCTCTCTAAGCAGTGATATATGCAAAGCCTTTGTGGGTTTGGGGTGAGTTCACACCCTGAGCTCTGATCAAAGTGAATGATGGCCATCCCCTGGGTGGATGGTCCAGTACAGTAATATAGCTCAATGTTTTTCTTCTCCTTCAGTGTGGAACCAATCTGATTCTTTTCTATCCATCTGCTCATTTCACTTATTCAATACCTCTGAAGTTTTCTGTTCTGTATCATATGTGATTAACATTAATGAACAGTTCCAAAATATACTATGCAGGACCTAGATAGAAAGTGATAACACCATCTCTAAAAAATCTCTCTAAAAAATCTGTCTAAAAAATAGAGCAAAATCAAACCAATGCAGCACATGCTAAATGAATGAAACCCTGGCACCATGATAGATCTCAGCTAGTGACTGGCAATAAGAATAGTCATTCCTTGTGGTTTTTTCCTAGTCATCAAGGAGGTTTTAATCAAAACAATAATCATTATATTTTTCAACGATGTGGAGATTAAAATGAAAGTCTTGATAGTGAACTTTGCAGATGTCACAAAACCCATGCAATGATAATTGAGGAGGAGGACAGGTTTAGCACTGCAGAAAAGCGTGAATCACATGCTAGACTATGCCCACATTATGGATGACAATGTATGACACATTTACCAGCGGTGTTTGTATTTTAGGAAACAGTGACTTGGAAGCAGGCTTGAGCTGAACATGAGCTCAAAATGTGATGGAGTAGCTAAGAAAACAGTGACAATCTTATATCTAAAAGGAGGGAACTACTAAGCAGAAAAGATGGTGTTACCACATGATGGTTTATTAATGAAAGTTTGTATTCAGTTCATCCGTCTGTACATTAGCAACAATGCTAAAATGATAGGAAAGATCCAGAAAAGAATGATGAAAAGTTTTAGGAAGCTGGAAAATCTTCCTAATTCTAAGAGTAAAGAAGCCCAATCTATTTAAGATTTGGAAGCATAAATATATTGCAAGACATTAAGCTAGTGTAATACTTTACAGAACATTATCTTTGCTCTGTTGGTTGTCCACAAGTATGTTCTTTACCTTGTAGGCAGCACAAGGTTGTTTTTTCCTCAAGGAAAAGAGGGGTAGCTTTTTTGCATTCACCCTGGTCATAGAATCATAGAATCACAGAATAGTTAAGGTTGTAAATGACCTTAAGATCATTCAGTTCCAACCCCTCTGCCATGGGCAGGGACGCCTCACAATAGACTATGTCACCCAAGGTTCTGTCCAACCTGGCCTTGAACACTGCCAGGGATGGGACATTTACCACGTCTTTTGGCAACCTGCTCCAGTACCTCACCACCCTCACAGTAAAGAACTTCTTATATCTAACCTGAACTTCCTCTGTTTTAGTTTGAACACAAGTGAACACAAGGGTCACTGTTGTGGAGCAGCTAATGTACTATCTTCTTGCTGCCTGACAGTAACCTACCATACAGTGCTGCATCCTCAGTGAATTCAAAAGTAGGTTAAAAGATGACGTGGTCGGGACACAAAAGTACAAACATGAGAAGCTGTCAGTTTTATGCTCCCTTTAAATTAACAGAATCCAGCAGCTGGAAGCTGAAGCTGGAAACATTGAGACTGGAATTTAAAACCTAGTTTTCTAGAGATGTTAGATCTATCACATTACATTCTTGAAGATGAAATTACAAGGGTTTCTAAAAGCTCACATAATAGTTTTAACTTTGATACAGTGAATTCCTTAAAAACAGTTTGGATCTGACTTGTCTGAGCAGTCACATTACACAAATAATGACAATTCCTTTTGAAAATCAACACATTTGTAAGACCAAAAAGTTTTGAGGCTGCTTCTGCCTCCTTGACATGTGATTCCAACAGCCACCATACTCCCAGGAGTGTAAATGGTAAGAATGTCTGGACTAAAAATCGGTTTATGGATTACAGCTATGCTGATTTTAAGAAATCCTTTAGAAGTTATAATTTCTTTATAAATTATCCCTTATAAATTATGATTTAATCATACAGAAAAAGAAGACATGGCTAGCTGCAAATAAGATTGAAGTTAGGAAAGGTATGCTGAAGGCTGAGCTCTTTACACAGTGATGTGCATTTCACTCTTACATGATGATGTACATGTCAGCATCACAACCTCATATGAATTACTTTAGTATTCAGCTGAAATATAAGCTTGTAAACATCTTGCCATCACTGAAAACACATGTATAGAAAAGTTGCCCAAGACACATATATGCAAGATATGCATAATGCTTATTTGTTTGAGGGTTTTTGTGAAGTATATATTAATATATATTTCCTCTGGACAATAACCTGCTTCTCTACTGCTTAACAGGATGTCGCACTCATAATTTCCTGTTCCTTAAAAGCTTTTTCTCTTCTTAATGCCCTTAGACAGTAGAAAAGAAAAAAGTCATCCCTCTATTTACTTACAGTCCAAATCCTGTCCCAAATCCCTGTAGCACTTGGAGTGCTACAAAAGTCCACAGAAATTAATCCACAGAGGAGTCGAGCTTCAGTGGCTGAACAGAGGTAAAATTTGCACATGATTTTTAATTTCACTGAGGAGCCCTAGGAAAGTATATCCTATCCTATCCTATCCTATTTGCCTTAGACTTTCTTCTTTGAAGATAGAAATTATATTTTCAGAAACAAGGTATGTTGCAGGCAGGATCACTTTGGTTTTTGAACACACATATACACATGGATGCATATTAAAGCATCACAGAAATTTTGAGCCAAAATCTGACGGGAATCAATGTTCTGTCAAAATCTTATTGCAGAAGCCTTAGACAACACTACTCAGCTTTCCAAGAGCAAGACTTGATGTTTGAGGTTAATCACAAGGATTCATTTTGTTGGGGGATCAGAAACCCAAAGCTGGCTCTATATAATACCTAAATCCCTTAATGCAACCAGCAGAGCCACAGAGCTTCTGTCATCTAAAGCTGATACTTCCTATTAACGCAAGATACCTGTTCATTCGTCTTTCTTTACAGGCCAATTGCTAAAGGAAGGGATTTGTGGTTAGAAGAAAAGCAAGCTCAGAATTCAGAAAGACAGGAGATAAACTGCTGGCCCCTTTGTAGTCAATAGGACTTTTACCACTGGCTTCAGTTCTAGGTTTCACCAAATACTTTTATATATGTAAAGTTACGTTTCTGTAACTTTTTCTCTACATTTATTTATCAGATCTGTACAAGCAAAGGAATATCAGAAACAATTCTGTACTCTGTTTTCACCCAGAGATTAAATGTTCTCCCAAAATGCAACCAACATGAAAAATTGCATATATTGTATATTGTTCTCTAATAATTTCTATAGCATAAATTCAAAGTTCCAATCTATTGACTCCTAAAGAGATACTTTCTTGGACAACTTTAGACCATGCCAAGACAAAACTCTATATGGAACTCAACAGAACTTGTAATACTACAAACCTGAATCTGAATTTTGTTTTCTGATCTGATTTTTGTCAATTCTGCAGCTGATTCCATTTCTCCCTCTCACCATGAAGGCAGAGAAAATGGAATGGAATGACTTCTGGTGAAGAGGACAACATGAACATGATATTCCTGGACTTGGCCCTTTTCTCTGTATTATTTCAAATAGGTAGTGAAAGCTGACTAATCACATTAACATTTAAGGGCATCATTTTATAATAATGGCTGGGAGATATCTTTGTTCATACCATTCTGTGAAGAAATGACCTGAACAGAAAATACACTTTGCATGAACCTCTCATTTGTCAGACTAGCAACCACATACAGTAACCAGAACATGTAGAAATTACAATGCAGACTGTGGAAATCTCATAACACAGGGTGTAATTCCTGAAATGTTGAAAAAAAAAAAGATTATCTGTTGAGAAATCTGGAGACAGAATAAATATGGTCAGTTCCTTCTGCACAAGAAGATCTATGAGAACCCTCATAGGTTTTGAGATGTTTGCTTTCTGTCAACCTGTTTGGCTAGTCTGTGATATTGCTGAAGTTATTATATAATAAGCATTAATGTATTTATAACAAACAGACAGTATCTGGCTAAAACCTGGAAATATTTATGGAAAAAAACCTATGAGCTACTCATCTGACACTCTGGTACCCTTTGTATGGTGTATCAATGGTGTTATGGCTGAAGAATGAGAGGTGATGAGATCAGAAGAAAGTTTAAGTGAAATGGACTCATGGTTACAAAATGTTCCAATGAAAATGGCCTTGCTGCTTCAAATATGGCCACAGATATTCCATTACAAATTGAGTATGAGTGTATATAAAAAGATAAGGACACTATCTACATTTACCTACTCTGATCCCAGTTGGCTGCAAAAAGCAGAAGAATCTTCCTGCCACAGTGGTCACGATTTTCCAGTACTCCTGGGAACCCATCTGTCAGAGCTCGTTTGATTCCTGGATCATCAGCTTTGAAGTTTTTGAACATATCCAGATTTAACTGGCGGTATTGGAAGTACTGAGCCAGCAGTCTGAAGGCCTCAGTTTGATGAAACTTTCTGGCTCGGAGAAATCTCAAGATGAAGGCATCATCTGTACGTAAAAACCCAATGTCAGGCCTCGTGATGATCATGTCCCTGACTTGCTGGATATCCTGATGCAAAATGTCTGGGTTTTCATTCAGTTCCAGGCGGGCTTTCTCTATAGTCTCTGGACTAAGTCCAGCTTGTAAATGGGTCATCTCTGCAAAAACCTCTTTTCCAAACCCTCAACGTCAGATATTTCAGTAGGTGAAGTGCTGATCCCATTCAATTGATGGTCTGCTGTGAGTGGGAACCATTCAGAAGCTTTTTGTTATCAAGCTGATATTTAACAAATGAAAGCAAATGGCTTTTCTTGTTCTTACAGTAAGAGTAACAGGCAGTTCACATGTAGTGTGATCCATCCAAAGGGAAGTGTTGTTTATTCCATCACTTACTAAAAGAAAAAACAAATATATAAAAGAAAGATTAAATATGTATATAAAGCTTACAGAAATGCATTTCTGAAATCTATATAGCAATAAAATTGCTTTGTGTGTTTCATATGTCAGAGGATACCAGTCAAATTATTTCAGAATTGGTGAATTTAAGATAAGGCAGTCATATGTTCAAGCTTTCAGAAAGGCAATCTGATCAATTGTCAATTAATACTAAGCTGCATGAACTTACTATTAGAATGAACTTTCCAAAGCTGTCTACTGAACTGTGGGAATTCTAGTATCCCATAACATCAAGCTCAGGATGACAAAAGCAAAAATAAGAGTATTTTTCCCTACCCCTAACAGGAGCTACACTTCAGCAGCGTAAGTATGCAGATTTACACTTACTATATTAAATACAACAACTGCTTGATGTGGTTTTATCACCCATACTATGAGCTTGTAGCTTTCCTTGAATTAGCCCATGAGCTGATTGTAAAACTGATTAAAAAAACCTCAACCTTCACCAACATCAGGAGTATTTTCTACTTGGTAAAACCTCACTGAAAATATTTCCCATTGAGACTTAGTACATCCTCATGGGAAACTTCCCATGAATAAAGTGTTTGATGAATCTAATCTGACAGGATTGGTGTTTTAGTTGAAAAGAGATGTATTTTATTCCAAATGCTTTTATTCAGTATCTTGTAGCTTTTCTGAATACGTAGTTCTGAATTTAATTTTTATTCCTTTACTTTACCTAGAACTTGTTTTTACAAGTGTTAGAAGAAAAGCTGCTTAAGTTATTATGTATGAGCAAAATGGTACAGTGAATCTCTTACATTTCAGTGACATAATTAGCAAGAGGCTGTCATCGAAGTCTGTGTAGTTACACTTGTGTGAAATAAGATCAAGGTCTGTTCCAAAGAGACATGTGTGTGAGGAAAGATCAAGATCCATCCAATTTTTCAGTCGTCACAAAAACAGACAAGCAAATAAAAAGCCCCGCCACTTAACTGATCTCTCTCTCTAACTTCTGAAAAAGAAAATTGGTTTTAAAATTAAAAGGGAATCCCTCAGTGAATGGCATACTGCATTTGAAGAAAGCAGTTTGGAAAGTTATAAACTATTTATAGCAAAACAACCATTTCACTCAGCCACTCTCTGGGTTCAGCATTCTCAGATTAAACAAAGTGGAGAGCAACAGCCAAAGCATTACTTTGTCCAGGGGCTGCTCAAAGTTACATTGCAGGACCTGGAAGTTAATCAGTACAAGGGATGCCCAAGTTCCCTGTTTTGTGAGCTTGCATTTCATTCATAAAAGCTGCATTTTAGATGGCACAGCTGCAACCCCAGGATGAGATCCCAAAATTTGAATACAGAGAGTTTCTGCATATTTGTTTAAAGGACATTTGTGTCAAGATAAGCTTTTCATGTGTATTAGACTTGTCTGTAGGTGATACAAAGGAGAGTTTGCTAAGCAGCCTCCTTCTGTATTCACTGCAGAGCTGGAGATGAGAAGAAATACCTGCAGGGCAGAGCATCTGGTGATTGGTCAGCCTAGGAAGTCTTGGGAAATGGAAGGTACTACAGAAAAACAAGTCCTGAAGTTTTGAGGGGTAATCTCTGGGTCAGGTTATTCAGGTCTCAAAGCAATTAGAGTTGTGTTAAAGGTGGATTGTGGATATAAAAATAAAGTAACAGTTATTTGCTTTGCTTTTGCCTTTTCTATAGCATGTTACAGTAACTCAGATGGTATCAACTTAATTCCTCTGATGTAAAATTGATGTAGGCCATAGGGAAACCAGGACAATATTTTGTATTTAAGATCTCAAATTAATGGTGGCATTAGCATTTTCTTGCATAAATCATGTTTTTTGCTACAATTGCCTCCATGAGCGAGCTGGGGGAGCTAGGTGTATTTCAGTGTGACCCTGTCCTTGAGGCAGTGTAGTGTAAAGATTGGTTGCCTCCCTAGTTTTAACAGCAGGAGTACAGTAAGAAGACTGTGCGCAGGGGTGCTCAGGAGAAGACTGGAAGCAAGGAGTTATCTGGGGTCTGCATGAACTCCAGCTCAGGGCTCAGCATGAATTGGAACACCTTTGGAGCTCCTGTGACATAAAATCACAAAATCATGGAATCACAGGATGGTTTGGGTTGGAAGGGACATTTAAAGATCATTTGGTCCAACCTCTTTTCACTGTGGGCAGGAACATCTTTCACTGGATCAGGTTTCCCAAAGCCCCATCCAACCTTGCTTTGACCGCTTCCACTGATGGAGCATCCACAAGTTCTCTGGGCAACCTGTTCCAGTGCCTCACCACCCCCATCATAAAAAATTTCTTCTTTATATCTAATTTAAATCTATCCTCTCTCAGTTTAAAACCATTAGCCCTTGTCCCACTACTACAGAGCCTAGTAAATACTCTGTCCTCATCTTTCTTTTAAGCCCCCTTTAAGTACTGAAAGGTTACAATAAGGTCCCCTGGAGCCTTCCGTTCTCCAGGCTGGAAAATTCAACTCTCAGGCTTTCCTCATTGGAAATGTGCTCCAGCTCTCTGACCATTTTTGTGATCTTCCTCTGGAGCACTTGTACCAAGTCCAAGGACAAGTGGCAGTTAGCTGTGACCTGCCAGTGGATTCATTTGTTTTCTAGAGTTTATGGAATTTAAACTGTCCCTTCTACTGCTCCTTTTCTGACTCCCACCTCCACCAAGATGTTTCATTGGAAATAAGGCAAACTCTTAATAGGTCAGTTGAAGTCTGCTCTAGGAGAAAATGGGATTAGACCAAGGAGATAACATCTGTCCCTTCAGGTTTTCTTATAGGATCCCCAAGCATTTAATGTCAAAAATTATGCTATTTATTTTCACTAAAGTTTCCTTTTTCTTAACCTACTTAAATGGATTATCACCTTTTATGCTCAGGATGATCCTAAGGCGAGGGAGATACAGTCTTGTCCTGTCAGATATTACTGCCAAAAAGCAACTTACAAATATTCAGTCTAACAAAAAATAGATTTTTTTTAATGCATTTCAGAGTTTTCTGTAGTGTGCTAAGCTATAGCCATAGGTTACAGCCTACAGGAGAGCAGACTTGACACTATCTGAATCATTACCCAGATCATGGGGTTAGCAATCCATTCTAGCACCACTGTCTTCAAGGAATCTGATTTACATCAGTAGATAATATGGTTCTCCCACTGCTTACCTTGACAATAAATGTAATGCTCTGTAGCTACCCAGTTTGCCATTGTGCTTTCTCAAATGATACTGATTTATCCTGATTCCCAAAGGTACAACAGAAGCACCTTCTCCATTTTCACCCCCTCCTACACATGGCAATTTCACTTTCTCTTCTGGTGTTACGTTCAGCTCTGATACATCTGCCAGTTTTTCAGATGTTTACATCTTTGTTCTACTTTGTTGGGTTTTTTCCAATGAAGTTTCTGGACTTTTTTCCCCTATCGTGAATATTGTTGCTGCATGTTAGCACATTGGACTCTTTGTTAGTCTCAACAGCTGTTTTTCTGTGTTGTGGCTCTTTGTTCCCAGAGGACTATTTGGTCTCCTAATGTCTTTTCACAGCCACTTACAATAAATCATATGCCTAAAGGAAAACACAGCTTTAAACAAGGAAAAATAATTAACAGAGGTTTGAAACACAACGTATTATAGAGGAAAAAAGGGAAATCGTCACCAAAATTGTGGTGTCACCTACCAATTTGGTTTATTCATTTCAGTCCTAAGAAAAGAATGAGAAGGGACAGGGAATAACTTTAGGATGGGTGAAATACTGAAAACCTTCAGACAAACAGCTTCTATTTTTGCCTGACTCTCAAAAAAAAATTTAATTCATAATAAAATCTGTAATAATACTCTAACCAAATAAAATAATATCTTAAGGAAGCATATACAGCATTTTCCAGTGCTGAAGATCTTAATTTGCTTTACTGCTCCCTCTTCAATGACAGCTTCTGGATTAGCATTCAGCCCCTATTTGCTCTACATCCCCTGGAAAATTGGCCAAAACCTGCTCTCAGTAATGATGACACTTGTCTGAACCATTTTGTTCCTGCCCGCTTAGCTGTCCCTGCAACACCATTTGCTTCTTGAAGCATTGTCCTCATGTCCATTTGGCCCTTTCCCATTGATTTCAGTTCCAGAAAGATTTTGGTTGCCTCTATCTACCAAATGTTTTCCATTCAGTCGAAAGCTATATGCCATGTGAAATTTCATTACCACCGCTTTCAAATGGGAAGGCACTAGGGTTTGATCCTCACCTGGTATTGATACACATCGCTGTTATGGTTTATCTCATTATATAATACCTAACTCCTAACATTCATACAGATATTAGCTGCCAAAATTGTGCCAGAAAAGAAGGGAGTGGGCAGGGAGAGAGGGAAAATGGTAATCTAGAATGATTTCATCTCAGAGTGTAGGTGTCATCTCATTAAATTGCTTTTTAAAAAATATTTTGATGTTAACCGTGGAAAACATCTTTGGGCTGTGTTCTGCTTAGTAGGGATTGCTCCGTAAGAGCAGGGGAGGATGAACCCGTAGCTGTACCGTATATGAACGGCTCCTATGGTGCTTTGTGGCCTTGTGATACCTTAGTAGGAACCCACAATGGAAATGGAGCAGTCAAACATAGAAAGATACATACCCAGCTCCACGAACTAGTGTAAAAAATGTGAGGAGAAAAACTGACTCTTGCCCCTGGCTGCGGCATCCTGGCATCCTCCTCAGACAGTGGGGAGAAGTACAGCCTTGAGTGAT